GGTTGACCAACAGTCAACTTATTTTCTTTCTTTTCAAAACGATTTAGGTGTTACGGGTTTCTCATGAACTCTTTGACCACCGGTCAAACCAATTTAGACTTTCACCAAAGTCAAACCACTTAACATTTAATGCCTATGACGGAGATAGCCTCAATCCTTAATACCGAAGATAGCCTCAATTCGGTGGAGGTAGGATCCCTCGAGTGATAGCCTCAAACCCAAGATCACAGACCCTCGTGCGCACGTCTTAACCTCACTGACCAGGCCCTGCAGCCGCCCGAGCAATGGCCAGTTTCTATGTTCAATCACAATAAACCAATTGACCTTAATCACCGATTAGAATTAATTAATTAACTTAACTAATTCATTAAAGTCTTGGATTTAACCATCCGACCAAACCTACGTCAACAGAATATCCAGTCAAAGTCCAAGTCAAACAGGACCTAACCCAAGTCAAAGTCAAACCTGTTCAGTCAATTCACAATCCTCAACAATTTAATTCAAACAATCAATTTAATTCAATTAACCAATTTACCCAAATTATAGCATAAACACATATAACGATCCAAACCATTAAATCTATTCTGAATGCTATTAACTTCATAGCACGGACCTGGATTACGCCGAAATCGAATCGATAGCTCGAACGGAGGACAAATCAACGAAATCAAACGAACGGGTCAAATTGAGTCAAAATATGAAATCGACCAATCAATCCGGCGTGGAGGTTAATCTGCCGGCGATATCAACTCGGGGCAGCGGCTATATGCGGCGACGGTGACGGACGCCGGCGACAGTGGCAGAGCGGCAACTCGACGGCGAGGAAGGATGCCGGCAGTGAAGGCGACGTCCGGCACTCGGCGTGGCAGCGCTGCACCCGACGGCGATGATGGCGGCGGCCACTGGCGATGGAAGCAGCGGCGGCGCTGGAGGCTTGGCGACGGCGGCTGGAGGCTTGGCGACGCTGGGCAGCGACTGGCGGCGGCGAGGAGGCTCTGGCTTGCGCGACGCCGGCGTGGTCGAACGGCAGGGATGACCGGCGGCTGGCTCACGGCAGCGATGATGGCAGAGGTCGATCGGCGAAGAAGAAGAAGAAGAAGAAGAAGAAGAAGAAGAAGAAGAAGAAGAAAGAAGAAGAAAGAAGAAGAAGAACGGGAGAAGAAGAAGAAGAAGGACGAACGAAGGATAAGGTTTGTGTGGTTTAGGTTTAGGTTTATTTAATGGTCCCATTCCAAAAAGGATTGGGCTTCGGACCCAAAATACCTGATTAAATGGTCATAAATGAGCTCCATAACTCCGATTCGCGAGCCGTCTGAACCGACGCGATCACAAAAATATTTCCTACGAGATGACATAAAAGTTGGGCTTAGAATCCAAATTATAATTTTAACCCCTTTTTAGGCCCAATTCGTAATCAATTGCTCTAACAATTTAATTAATTCTTTTGGGCCAGATTTCGGGGCGTTACATTTCTCCCCCC